CTTTCCCTAAATAATCTGCAACCCCTAAAAATCTAAAATTCTTCATAAACCATGATGCAATTATCATTTATTTACTTAATTAAAGAACCTAAAGAAAATTTAATTGACAATTGTAAAACCAAACTGGTATTTCATTTGAAACAAGCAAATTCAACTGCAAAACAGAATCTTAAAATGATATAGCGAGTAGAAATAAAGCCATTTAAATATGCCAAGAGAAAACAAAAGAAATTCGTGTAGAGAAAAATATAACATGCCATGTTTACAACTTTGAAGGAAAGATCCCTCGTGTCATCGCTTTCACTAGGAAAAAAACAATAAACAAATGAGCCAACCAAATACCAAGCTTCAAAAGATGCAGAGACACCAAACCAGTAATGCCTCACAGGAGGTAAGGAAGACCATCCATAAAGAATGTTTGTTTCATCAGGAAAAACGTGTAAGAGTCAAACATCATTCCTTTCCCCTCTTTTTCTCTCCCCCTCACACGCTCTGCCCCTATCTGTGCTCCTCCTTCTCTCTCCCTATTTACAGGCACATGCATCATGGTTTCCATTCAAGCACATGCAAAACGAAATTCATGAACTTCCATTTGAACAATTCCCCCCTCCACTCACAGTCAGCGACCCTTTTGGCAGAACAAAATTCCATGATTAAAAAGGTCCCCTGCTTTTCATGCATGCACCTTCACTACATCTAACTTTACAAAACTGCATGTGCATGCACACAAACACAATCAAAAGCGCGCGCGCAGACACACAATCAAGCGACTTCAACCTTCCCTGCTTTCCATTGAAGTTCAAACAGTAAGAGAACAGCAGAATGTAACAAAATTTCAGTCAAACCATTGAATTTCAACCATCCCATTCCCATAACTAAGCTACCATAACCAGACCAGACCCTTAATTCTACCTGAACAAAACACAAAAGAGAGAAACATGGATCAATTCTCAAATAATTACCAGTAAACCCATTGACACTAAGATCCACCTCTTCCATCTGCAGGTCCGTCTGCAACAGCTCCTCCGGCACAGACCCAAACAACTGATTCCCGCGAAGCCTCAAAACGCGAAGCGAGGGCAAAGACTGAAAAGAAGGAAGCTCCCCCGAAACAGAGTTATTACTCAAGTCCAAAACCTGCAAGTTGCGAAACAAACTAACAGCACTTCCGTCAAAGAAGGGCCCATTCAAGTTGTTATAACTCAAGTTCAGAAAATGCACAGTGTTCGCCAAGCCCGAAACATTCTCAGCCGAGAGCGAAAGCCCGCCGAAGAACTGATTCAGGCTCATATCCACGCGCTCCACGTTGCGGAGCGTGGAGAGCACCTCCCCAATTTCGGCCCATAGCTCGTTGGCGCGCAAATCGAGAACCCGAAGCTGTTGGAGGTTCCCGAGCCCGCTCGGGAACCCGCCCTTGAACTTATTGTGAGACAAATTGAGGTAATTTAGGGCCCAAAGCTCGCTGATCCGGGCCGGGACGGGCCCGTAGAATCTGTTATCGGAGAGATCCAAGTGCTGCAGCGAGGTAAGCGAGCCTAAGGCGGGGGGAAGCCTCCCGGTGAAGTGGTTCCCGGCGAGTGAGAGGTTCCGCAGCATCCTGAGGTCGAGCAGCGTGTGCAGCTTGAGCTCCCCGCCGAGGCTGAGGCGGTCGAGCACCACGGCGGTTACGTTGCCGGTCTCCTCGTCGCAGAAGACGCCCTTCCACGGCGGACACGTGGCGGCGGAGTCGGCGACGGAGTTGGAGGTCCATGATTCTAGAAGCTTGAGCGGATCTTGCGTTATCCCTTTCTTGAACTCGAGTAGGGATCGGAACTCGGAGAAGGAGGTGGCGGAAGAAGAAGCAAGAAGAAGAAGAAGAAGAAGAAGGGCGAAGAAGAAGACAAAGAGGTTATTCATCGGAGAGTGAAAGAAAGAGAAAGTGAGAAACGTTAATTATTCATGTAGAGAGAGGAACCCTAGGTGGAGAAGGAGAAAGAGAAAGTGTAGCATAGTAATAATAATAATAATAAGAGTAGAGTAGAGTAGGGTTAGCGAATTGTGATTTTATAAAAATGAAGAGAGAAGAGAAGAGAGTGTTGGTTGGTGGGGGCGAGGGAGTAACTACAGTCTGTAAAGGACAACCTCTTCCTCCTCACTCCTCACTCTTCTCTTTCTCTTTCTCTTTCTCTTTCTCTTTCTCTATTCCAAACCCACATCCACATGCATCTAACGCCGTCACCCTCTCTCTCTCTCTCTCCCCCCAAAATTACTTTTTTTTTTATTATTTTTTCCTAAGACACACACACACTCCTGCTCCTGTCGCCATTACTAAGTACTAACCACCTTTTTCTCAATGCCATCTTTCCCTTCGCTTCTTCTGTTTGCTCTTTATCAGGAAAATATTTAATGTGTTGGGGGAGTTTTCTGTCCAACAACCAAGTCTTCAATATTTTATTGTTTTCACCATGCCAAACGCCTTTCTAATTCATTCCTCAATTTATTGCAAGAAAAATAAGTTACTATCAAATTCAAAACAATTATTATTTGCTTACTGGCTTCAATTGAGGAAGGTTCTGTACAGGTCATGACAGGGTGTTACAAAATATTTTATCTCCTTTCGTTTTCCTCGCAAAATCACATTCTATTCTCCTCTTTAAATATAAACATTTTTACCACGTCATTCAATCATATCTTATCTTATTAATTTTACAATAATTATCTTAGATAAAAATATATTCGTAATAATTTTAAATAGTCAAGTTAACAATGTAAAAAAAAACTATATCAAAATCAAAATATTATTTAATTAATACCACAATAATTAAATTATTAATTTTATGATAATTATTTTAAAAACATATTAAAATAGTAAAAAATTCATTATCATTTTATACTTATTAATCTCTTAAATTATTATTAAAGAAAATCTAAAACTAAAACGTATTTATACAAACAAAACAAAAAATCACATGTATCTTCTTTCATAAATAATTATGTTAGATGCAAGGTCAAACATTAAATATATACATCTCTACAATAAAGATTCAAATTTTAATTCGTCAAGTTAATAGTATCACAATTTTCACTTGTGGGTTTGATGTATAATCATTTTTATAGTAAAAAATATCAAAAATATTTATAAAGATGATGTCTTTATTTTATTAATTAATATAAAAAGGGCCAAATGGAGTAAAAAATTAAATTTCAAAAAAATTAAATCATATTTTTATCTTTATCGTATTTCTTAGATTTTTCTTGATCTTTTATTTATTAAAATATTTATTTTAATCATTTATCTTTGGATTAATTTAATCTTTTTAAAATAATTATTATTTTTGATTTTTTATATAATTTAAAATCAAGTTTTAACTGATTTAATACATTAAATTTATATATATATATATATATTATAAAATACAATTGACATTGAAATTTAAAAGCAAATCATGTAAAAAAAATATCACATGAACGATTATAACATATATAAATTATAATTTTTGAAATTTTCGATTTTCACTTTTTATATAATATTTTTTATTTAAAATTTAATAACATTCAATATTTTTCATATAAATGAATTGAGATAAATTTAAAATTTAATATCAATCAATGAATAATTTAAAATGTCTAGATTGACTGGAATTAAATTTAACAGGAAAATGATTATAATGAACATGTTCTTACCGGAATTTGTCGTAGGAACGATCCTCCAAGTAAGATTGGTGAGCCTCCTTTATTGGTACGCTGATGCTTCAAGATGGGGGTGGTACCTGCAAAATAATTATTGTCAAAGCTTTCAAGGAACAAATGGACATGATGCTCTTCTTCTCTTTGTGCCAACTCCTTTGCTACACCACAAGTGCATTCAGGCAATGGTTACAACTCGCTTAATTCATCCCATAAGCATTTGAACTTGGAGTAGAATTCAGTCATGGTCATGTCCAGTTCTTGTTGCATCAAGCAAAGACTCCGCCACAACTAATGTATGTTAGGTGCATTGGCTTGAGCAAAACGTTCCTTTAGATCCAACCAAACCTCTCTTGTAGTGGTTGCATGTGAGATGCTACCATGCAATGTTGGATCCATTGAGTTGTTGATTTAGGCTATCACTTTTGAATTTACTTTCTCCTAGAGGTCAATGTAGGATTTGTAATGCTACCTATGATGAATCCACATTTTGTTTTGTCATGTAAAGCCATCTTCATAGAGTGTGCTCAATTTTGATAATTATCACCAGTAAGTGTTGCTGCCACCAATGGTGTTCTTGAATTGTCTGATGATCCGAGATAATATGGTGATAAAGAAATGATAATAGTTGAATCATTCACAATCCCAAAGGTATGTGATTTCTTCTCCGATGCCATATTAAATTATAGAATAGAGAATTATATTATATTTTTCTATATTGAATTCAAATTTACATGGCTATATATTTATACACAACAAACTCAACAAACTGATAAGAAAAATTCCTAAACCCGTGTAATAAGATAATTGTATAGCTAATGATAATTATATGAATTTGAATATTAGTTGATACAGACCACAATCTTATCTCTATCATAATAAAAATGTTTATCTTTATCATAATTAAATTAACAAAAATATTCTTTATCTCATTAAATACATACATATATATATATATA